ATAGCTACAAAGGAAATAAATCCAGTTTGTATACCCAAAGGTGCCTTGGCAAACCCAGATATTAACTATTAAAGGTAGCATGGACATCACTGTGCTACACATAGCCTTGGTAAACAGCAGAGCTGTAGGAAAGACCCAGCATCCACCCACTACAGGTTGTCTGCTGAAAAAAACAGGCAGGATACAAGACCAATTATTCTAAAAAAAAAAAGAGAGTGTCAGCGATTGGTCTTTATTACAGGAGGCTCTGTCACAGAGACAGTTTCATGCCAGATGGCTACAAAGATCTGGTAGAAATACACAAACCTCACCAAGATTCAAGGAAGAATACACATTCCTCTTGATTCTTGGCAATATTTGTTTAGCCTAGTCTGTTTTATTTGTAATCACATAACTTTTTTAATTTGTCCTTTCATAAAACCATATGGAATAGAGTATTGCTGAAATGTTCATCATGTGACCTCATTTTGTAAGTGGTGATAAGTCTGACCTGAATATACATTTTTGTCTTCACAGCATTCTTTTTGAAATTGCAATTGCTCTTGAAAAGCTCAGTAAGGTGAACGTTTATTTTCCACTGATGGAATGTATAATTTGTACGTGTAGATGGTGATTTGATGTTCTTATATCGCTCAGAGGGTAAACCAAAAATAATGTAGCATATGATATAAGTGGTGCTGTCTCTAACCTCTGGTGTGTACTTAGCTGGAAAGGCCTTTAATTTATCCGAAAGTTATGGGAATTCTTCCACAACCACACACATTTTGTTGGATATGATGCCAAGTTTTGCATGTAAGGTTATAAAAGGTGATGGAGTATCTACAGTTCCCAGTGTTTTTTCTAACTTTAACACAATTGCCAGGCAATAATATTGCTTTCTTACTTAAAGCCCAATTAAACCTTCTTCATTATATACTGTAACACAGTCAGGCATTCAATAAATGCAAATCTCTTTTTTCCTTTTTTAACTGAAGTACTGCTGCTGCAAAAGTTAATATACTGTGTGCTGGCAGCATGTATTAGAGTCAGACCACTGCTCTCCCCAGCTCCCCAGAGTCTGATCAGGGAGCTAGAACACTGTTTATTGGAGAAGTGTTCTTAAGGGCGTGGTAGACTGCTGGAGAGGCGGGCCGCTGCTTGGTGTTAAAGAACAGTCGTCCATCTGTCCTTATGTGTCCTATCTCCCAAGCAAAATTTGAATTGGTTTTAGGTGAATAAAAGGGACACTTAGGTAAATTTTCCTTTCTTTTCATCCCTCCCAAGCCTGTTGCTTCAGTGATCATAAATGGGAACAGGTAATCTAGGAGACCAAATTGTGATGTTGAAAGGCTCAAGAAACATATACCACCCTGGTAGAATGAGCCGTAAAAGAAAAAATGGGGACGCTTTGCTTCAGAGAAATGTCCTAACAAGTAATCTGGTAAATCTATTGGGCTATCAGGGTGGCACAGTGGCTAAATGGTTAGCACTTCTGCCTGGCAGTACTAGGGTTGCTGGTTCGAATCCCAGCCACGGCTCCACCTGCCTGGAGTTTGCATGTTCTCCCTGTGCCTGTGTGGGTTTCCTGCATGTACTCTGGTTTCCTCCCACACTCCAAAGACATGCTGGTAGGTTCATTGGATCCTGTTTAAATTGTCCCTAGTATGTGTATGTCTGAATATAAGTTAGGGACCTTAAATTGTACACCCCTTCAGGGTTAGGGATTGATGTGAATGTACAATATATATATATGTAAAGTGCTGCATAAATTGACAGTGCTATATAAGTACCTGAAATAAATAAAATAAATATGATTGAGCTGGATGCCCAGAGCTCCTCTAGAGAGGTCTTGAAAATTACAGAGTCAGTCTTTCTGGAGGATGCTGTTGTGGAGAGAGATGATCTAACAGCCCTCAGCACTCAATGTATGTAAAACACAATCAATCTCCTTAGGATAAAAAGGAGCTTGGTACAAGTAAAGGGTCACAGTGTTCTCAAAAATGTGGAAAGAGGTCACAATCATAGGCAGGAAAGAAGACTGCAAGTGCTGAGATTCTTGTAGCAGATTTATTATCAGCTTGAGGCATGAGGGAGATCTACAACACTGGGTCAAAAATAGGTATTTGAAGAACTGAGAGAACTGGCTTACAGACCTACAGAGCAAGTGGAGAGGAGACCCAGCTTGGGAAGCAATGCAGGTATCCTCCTAGATAAAGGTACGGACCAAGGAGTGAATGGCTAGGGAACAATGGAACAGAATTGCTAGAGCCGAGTTCTGTCGTTTAATGGTCCTTAGCACAATATGTTTAAATAGGTTTAAAAGATAAAGCCAAGACACACACACCATCTGAGGTATTATTATTATTATTCAGTATTTATAAAGCGCCAATAGTTCGCTCAGCGCTGTACATTACAAAGGGGGACAGAACATGTGACAGAACAATACCAATACAATGCAAAACATGAGGGGATCGAGGGCCCTGCTCTTTCAAGCTTACAATCTAGGAATGCCTTTTCAGTGTGGTGGTTAACCTTATGGGAAAATAGTTTGTAAACCCAAAGCATGGTAGAAATCCCCACCTGAGAGAGACCCCTCTCCCTCAGCACTTGGGCTTTAATAGCAAATTAAAATGATTCTAAAGGCTTTTTTTTTTCTCTAATAACAAACATGTCTATACTTACATGCTGTGTGCAGTGGTTTTGCACAGTGCAGCCCAGATCCTCCTCTTCTCGGGTTCCCCATGGTGCTCCTGGTCCCTCCCTCCTGTTGGGTTCTCAGACAGCAAGTAGCTTGCTATGGGGACAAACCCGAACATGAGCACTCCCCAGCCCCTGCTCCTTGTGTCCATTCACACATGGAGCTGCTACTCAACCCCGCCCCTCTCTCTTCTCCTTCTGCTGTCTCAGCCAATGAGAATAGGGAGTCCTGGGATAGCCGATACTCAAGTGCACATCTAGAGGGGACTAAGGTGAATATTAGAGGAGGCTGGATAGAATGCATGAAGGTGAAAAACCTTGAGCCTTTACAACCGTATTAAAGTCAGTGACTGAGTAAGTATAGTAAATATAGTAAAATATAGTATTGGGTAAAGATGGAAATTTTTTTTAAACTACTAAAATTCTGACTGCTGACTGAAAATTTGATTTTGTTTGTAATAATTGTGCATACTGTAAAGCACATGTTTCAGGAAGAGACTACATTTGTTTTATACGTCTGGGATTCTATTGAAGTAACATGTCTTTAGTTCATTCAATGATTGCAAACTTTAATGCTCTAAGGAACGATTTTTCAGAATTTCAATGCCATTTTTCAAATGAAATTCTGGTGTATGACCAGTGCTAGGGTTCATTCATATGGGCACAGAGCTCTGTACATGGTGAATAGCCATTTGCTTATCTTTTTGTACTAGCAAGATTGAAGGTTAGGTAAAGGTTAGGCAACACTTTGTTTTTAAATCAGCATAATATATGCTACTTACATTGAATCCAAAGTGTCCCTTGTGCTGGTGGCCACTGTCCTCTGCCATCCTCCTATACTCCACAGGTGTAATCTTCTGATGTGAAGTGAGTTAATAGACCTGTCACAAGCACTCATCCAGAGTACTGACTATGCTCACCCTATCTGCCCCCCTCCTCCATTCATAAAAGCTGTATTATACACTATATTGCCAAAAGTATTGGGACGCCTGCCTGTACAGCACATGATCTTTAATGGCATCCCAGTCTTAGTCCATAGGGTTCAATATTGAGTTGGCCCACCCTTTGCAGCTATAACAGCTTCAACTCTTCTGGGAAGGCTGTCCACAAAGGTTAGGAGTGTGTCTATGGGAATGTTTGACCATTCTTCCAGAAGCGCATTTGTGAGGTCAAGCACTGATGTCAGACGAAAAGGCCTTTAACTATTGGAGGTCTTTAACTATTGACTCTGCAGACAGTTGGCGACTTCTGCGCACTGTGCACTTGAGCATGTGCTGACCCCACTCTGTCATTTTACGGGGCCTACCACTTCATGGCTGAGTTTCTGTTGTTCCCAGTTGGTTCCACTTTGTTATAATTCCACTAACAGTTGACTGTGGAATATTTAGTAGTAAGGAAATGTCACGGATGGACTTATTGCACAGTTGGCAACCTATCACGGTACCACACTTGAATTCACTGAGGTCATGGAGGTGATTGGAACACCTGAATCCATGGATTTGGAGGGGTGTCCCAATACTTTTGGCAATATAGTGTAGTTTTCATGAATGGTAAGTGATCTAAGAATGAAAGAGGCAGATATTTGAATTAAATGTAAGTATCGTTCCAAACAACCTAAACTGGGGCTTTTACAGATATATAGGCTGCCTGCATGAAGCTCCATGCTAATGCAAAAAGGTAGACACAAGGCTTTTCCCACTGTACAGGGCTCTGCGCCCAAGTTAATAAGCCCTTAAATGGAAAGAAGAGTGTATTTTGTATTTGTGCAACAAATTGCTTGTTGCTTCCTCTGCTACTAGGTGCTGTCTGTATTAAATTTATCAAATGCAGCACTTACTAATTAGCAAGTCTAGACTAAATCTGATGAAGTTTACTAAGTGAATGAGAACAAACATACAGCATATTTGCTGACACATCTAATTAGAACAGAGTAGGATTGAGGTGAATGCAACATAACACAAAAACAAAAATTTACATAATCACAAGACATGCTATGCTCTACCTTGAAAACTAATAAAAGCAAACAGTAATTCAGTCACGCTGGCAAAGTAAGGTATATGCAGTAAAAAAAAAATAAAAATAAATAGTGTCACTCATGTTATTCAGTTATGTCAGGGCTTAAAATTTCAAGTCCTGAGCTACTAGCCAGGCCTTAGAGTTACTCGCCACCACAAACACACACAGAGACACCTGTACACACACACAGACATGTACATACACACAGAAACATGTACACACACGCACAGAGACACATGTACACACATACACATACAGACACATGTATACACACACAGGCACGAACAGACACGCATACACACAGATACATGTACATACACAGAAATACACTTACACAGACACATGTACATACATACACAGACACATGTACATACATACACACAAACACACACATGTACATGCACACACACAGACACATGTACACACACACAGATACATGTACACACACACACATACATGTACATACACGCAGACACATGTACAGATACTCACATGTACATACACACAGACACATGTACAATTGTACATGCATACACAGACACACACAAACACACACACATGTACACGTACACACACCCCATAAAAAGTTGCAGTACTTCGTTGTTCACTCACAGAGCCGGGTACTGCACTCTAGGGGGAGGCAGAGAGCACAGCACACACTACTTGCGTTGCTTTCACTGCGCTCAGCTATTGAGCAGTCTGACGGCTCCCAGTGCCAATGACAGATCCAGCCTGAGCTCCGAGCCTGCTCAGCAAGACGGCACTGGGGGACACACTCGCCCCCACCATAATTTCCACTCGCCACTGGCAAGCAGGCGAGTGGAAATTTCAATCCCTGAGTTATGTCACTATGTTTTAGAAAAATCAGCTATGTCTAATGGGTCAATGAATGACATAAAGGTCTGTCTCCATTGGTTACCACTGACAATTAAAATTTTAAACCTACTGGGTAGATGCAGTTTCCTCTTAACATATTTTTAAGTCCTAACTGTTATAGTAACATGTTCATATGTTTCAATAAAGAAATCCTTGCTAGTAAAAAATGTATCTTTTAAGAGTAGAAGATAGGTAGTTCATAACAGTCAGCGAAGCATATGTACTTGTCAAGTGCATAATTATAGCCATACAGTTCATGCAATTACTGTGGAGCCTGAGGATAAGGAGAGTCTGGTTCATCTCAAAAAAGGGTTTAAAAAATGTTCATGTTCACTTACTTTATTCAGTTTATCAGTTTCGCCTCACAACGAAAGATTCTTGTGGTTACTGGCTCAGGGGTACAAAAGTGAAGGCTAATTTCCTTTGCATTGATTGCGCTCTGCTTTACCAATCAAAGCTTAGTGTTGGCTGATGTCAGAGAAGAAGCTCCTTTCACTTTCAAAGTAGAAGATAGCTGGAAAGCTTGAGGAAGGGACTTCCAGTGGTTAGGAAAGGCTCTGATGAAGTCCTGGAGGTGAGCATGGGAGGAGATGATGAATGGGCTAGAGAACAAGAGGCTCCTGGGAAGGGTGAAGAGGACAGTTTGGATGAAATCTTGAGATGAAGTTATTGATGTGGCTGGGCAAGAGTTGTGGATGGCTTTGTATGTTCATTTTTTGGGCTGAGCGGAAGCCAGTGGAGAGATTAGCAGTGGGGCAGACACTGAGCAGTTGGTGAGATATGGCACCACTCATGATAAACTGGAGAGGGGATAAACTGTGTTGCAGCTGTGTCATGAATGGCATAGCAGAGAAAGGGGGTGGTGGTGGAACAACAACGGCACTGGTGTGGAACATAGATACTGTTCCAATGCAGCTGAGTGCTAGAAGTGCAGCTCCCAATGTACATATCAGCAGCTCTCAGCAGAACCTAGAAAGCTTTTGAAGTAATTAAAAAATGTTATATTTCTAATGTGACAAAGATTAAAAATATACATTTTGGCCCTATGCCCCTTTCAGATGGGGCGGACCCGTCAGTTATTATTTTGTAAATAGGGGTCATTGCTGGGCACTTTCCACTAAAGGAAGGCCTTTCAATTTTTTTCTCTGAGGCCATGGGATTTTTTTTGTTATACCCCTGATTTTTTTAGACTTAGCCACAGGCCTGTGTAGTGCTCACCCCTAAAGGACCCACTATTTTGGTCCCAAGGTTTTTTCCCCAGTAAGTGTGTTAGCAGTCTCAGTCATTCATCTGGCTCAGTGATTAGTCTAGGGCAGGGGTCTCCAAACTATGGCCCTCCAGGTGTTGAGGACCTCAGGCCCATGAGGCCTTGCAAGACTCTGACAGCCACAGGCAAGACTCCCAGAGGCTGAGGCACAATGGGACTTGTAGTACTTAAACAGCTGGTTAAACAAGAAAACTAAACTTGCTTAACACACAACTCCTAAACTAGTGTCTTGGACTGCAAACACTTCTATAGGTAAAAGTTTGCATTTGGCATGCTTTTGCACAATTAATGTGATTTTTGCTGTTGTGTGCATGCTGATAATTTGTCAGACCTTGGCTCATACTTCTTTAGTTTGAGAGCAACACACGCAGCACTGTTAGTCTGTTTCTAGTATCAGAGTTGATATAATTCAAAGCTGAAACAGCTGTGTACAAGCATAATATTACCCAAACAAAAGTACGAAATGCAATCCAATCTCAAGTGCTTTCATTGTCTTAAAATTATTTGGCAGAGAAGTCTTACGGAATTGTAAAAATCTGTTACTAAAATTCTCCTTTGCAGCTGCTACAAACCTAGAAAATGTCTTGTAGATTTCCTGATGGCTTGAATGATTGTCCATAAATGTTGTAGAATTTTCCAAATGCATTTTTAGAAAATATGTCAGCTGCCCACTTTCAAGGTCTCTTTCAAAAACCTGCAGTTTTCTCTAAATTTTTTTGATATCACAAAACATCCTTTCTGCTGTTTTCCCTAAATCGTGTAACTTTTTGTTCAGTATATTGAAGTGTAATGTAAACTCTGTAAAAAACATGAGGTAAGCCAGACCATACAAGTGAGCTGTGGATATTCCTGCCCCTTTTCATTCATAAATAGCCTAATTTCATCCAAGCAGGCTACAAATCTCTCCAGGACTCATCATCTGCTCAGCCACTGGACATTATTGTACATAAGTAAAAATATTATACTGTGCCTGAACCTCATCAAGAAGTGCTTGAAACTATCAAATATTAAGAGCACGAGCCATGATGTAATTCACCATTTTTGTGACATTGTTGAGGATATTGTCTAATTTTTTGCTGCTTTCTTTGGCAAAAAGAATTTCTTGATATATAATATAGTAAAACTGAATGACTGGATGTTTTGCTTCTTTAACAAAGAACTGTTTGAAACCAGATGTTACCCCCACCATGCAAGGTACCCCATCAGTAGTAACTGAAACCACTTTTTCTGGTCCTATGTCTTGTGACAAAAAAGTCTCCATCACAGCATTGTAGATATTTATCCCTTGTGTTCTTCCAGGCAAAGACACCAGTTTCACCAGCTCTTCTCTCATGATGTCACCAACAGCATAACACAAAATTACTGCTAGCCTTGAATGATTATTTATATCTGCGCTTTCATCCAACCACATGGAGTAACAGGCTACTGTTTGTAAGTCAGTGGTGAGCTGCTGACTAACATCACTTGCCATGCTCAGGACTCGATGTTTAACAGTATTTCTGCTAAGTGGCATCTCAGAGATGCGTTGCATATTTTTAGCCTTGTTTGGGAAATCATGAAAAAAGGGAATTTCTCCCAGACAACATGGCCATTTTGTCAAAATCCCCATCAAAGAGGGGCTTACCATGTTTTGCTATGCACAGTTTAATTTGAAAGCTGGCAGATGATTTGTTTTAGAAAGATAGTTGCAAAATCTAAGATACTGGGAGTGATATTTCCTCAATTTCCCTTCAAGAAACTCTTTTCTTTCAACTTCATCAAGTTCGGCAACACTTTTGTGGTTGGTGTGAAAATGCAGTCTAACACTTTATTTGCGAAACACAAGACTTTCACTACACAGAATACATAACTCTTTCCCATTGCGCTTAATCACTCCAAATGACTCTGTCCAGGCCTCTTGGAATGATCTTCCACTATCTGTCTTCAGTTTTGCTTTTTTTGCTGTGCTCATTTTTTGGTGTTCAAGGCTTGCAGTCTAGAAAAACACAAAATTAAAAAAAAAGAGGAATGATTTACTAACCCCACCCATATAAAATACACTGTAAATGTTCTCAAAGTATGGCTATATATAAGTTCGTAAGAGAGCAGCTCACATTTTTGTGAACAGATAGAGGCATAGTCCAACGTCGTGTGGAACAACAAGGTGCGCTGTACCCGGGGAAGAGAAATCCTCATGGATACTGCTGTGCCACTGGTGCCATCACTCTGCTGGGCCTTGAAGCCGGCTGTGTGTATAGAAGGATCTAGAAGAGAGGTCTGGAATGCTGTTCAGGCACGATGACATCACTGGACGAGTCGCAACTCATTTCTGAGCATGCACATTGGCAATGGCCAATCAGTGTGCGCTCCTTTCCGAGGTTTGGCTGCCAGCGATCTGGCGACTTAGCTTGTATGCCCACAGAGAGGGCTCTGCATGCCAGCTGTGGCAGGCGTGCCATAGGTTCGTCATCGTTGATCGAGGGGAATTCTTTTTGATGCTTTAGTGAATACTTTGGTGCAGGGTAACCATGGAATACTCCAGCAATGTTAAGTAGTAACTTGAGGGCACCTGTCTCCTTCTAAAGGCTTCCTAGCACAGTCCTTGCAGCAACAGCAGATAATATGCTGAGCTACACAGGGACAAAAGAAAAAAGTCCACCTTTAAACACAAGCAACTCTGATGCAAGAGGGATAGCAGCAGCACACAGTCACTGGGATCTTACACACCAGTCTGTACTCACTAACGTCCTTGGATATTTAAATGACGCCTTCCAAAATCTGTCAGGCATATCCCCCATGAACTCTTCAGACCAGATCCCCAAAAACAAATCCTTCGATCAGCTTCAACAAAGTTCAGTAGAATAGGCCCTCCAGCTGGTATAGCTTGGACCTTAATGAGCAAATTAAGCACCATAGCTTGACTTCCCAGAAGGGCAGCAGTCCTTCAGGCTAGGATCTCCTTCTGCTGGACAAGACCCCTCCGCTCCAGGCCTCAAGGTATGTATGCTCCCCCTATCCACCTTCTGGGCATCCTCCCCCATGGAGTGGCTTGGACCACATAAATATTCACACTGTAATTTTGAATCTCAAAGCCCACTATCTCCCAGAACCATCCAGAAGGCAGGAGAAAGCAGTAAAACCCACAGCCTGTGAAACTCAGAGCAGACCAGAGCAATCACAAGCAACTCTACTGATTACAGGAGAGCTATACAACTAAATTTACCTAACCTAGTACCTAACTAGGAAGGTGCTATACCTGTTTCACCCCATAACGTTGCTTTTCTTTTTGTTATGTACTTATGTAGTAGCTGCTAAAGTCCACTTCTGAATACTTTGTGTAAAGTTACTTTTAGGCCTTTTGCACATGAGCAAAGGCCGCGTTTAGAAATATATAGGGCAGAGGTGCTCAACCTTTCAAAAAGCATGGGTCCCTTAACTTATTTGGTAACCGGTCACTGGCCACAATGAAATGGTGCTTTATCATAGACTTTTGTTATATCTTGTGAGCATGGTGCACTTTCTGAAACAGCACCAAAACTCCTGCATTCAAGAGTTTTGGTGCACTTTCAGAAAGCACACAAAACCCACAGGAAATAATAGAAGTTTATGGCTCAGTGCAGCTAACCCACAGGAAAGCTGCAGTAGCACTGGGCTGCACCCGTGGTGCAGATAAACCGCAGCACATCAGTGTGAAAGCAGCCTTATAGATGGTAACCCTTTTACAGATGCT